TTTGTGTAAGCCGAAAGCTTAAATTGGGTTTAAACACACACACACACACACACATATATATATATATATATATATATATATATATATATATATGCTGGAATTTCCCGTCGTTTATCGACGTATGAGGGTCAAGCTACTCAGTTCCTAGGGACCGAGAGTTAATCACCTGCACATGAGATTTGATCATAGGGGTGAAGGCTTTGTGTAGAACCATTCACACTTTTTGAAGAGCCGAATAGAGAGAGACCTTGTGCACTACGTGCCACAAGGTCCCCAAAACTCTCCGCAGGTTTTGAATTCAGAGTTGTCCTTCTCCTAGACTAGTTGCCATTCAAGAATAAAGAACCCAGTCTATCCTGTTATTTATCCACACACGCATATATATATATATATATATATATATATATATATATATATATGTGTGTGTGTGTGTGTGTGTGTGTGTGTGTAAAAGTTTCGTTACAAACGACTGACAAGGTACTGCGGTTAAATTTTTATTGATACTTTCCTTATTGTCTGCCGGGTCATGTAATTTAATAATTTTGTATTTAGGCAGCAGTCCCTCTTTTATACAAGTTTCGTTAAAAACGACTGACAAGTTACTGCGGTTAAGTTTTTTATTTGTACTTTTAACGAAACTTGTATAAAAGAGGGATTTCTGCCCAAAAACATATTTCCACACACATATATACGCGCACACACACACGCACACACACATACATATATATATATAAGCCTTCGCCATTATAATCAAATAATATGTGCTGGTAGTCGGGCTGTTGGTTCTACACACACACACACACACACACACACACACACACACACATATATATATATATATATATATATATATATATATATATTAAGTTTCGTTAAAAACGACTGACAAGTTACAACGGTTACATTTTTTATTTACTTTCTTTGTTTATTATTGTTAAATATTATCGACAAGTTCTGTCTATCCAATTTTTTTTTAATAACCTTTTCAAGTTTACGAATGTGTTTTCTTTATATAATTGATAAATTTACCAAAATTCATTTTTTCCCCTTACTTTTAAATGTTACTACAAGGATTGTGTTTTGTGCATGTTTATGTAACAACTTTTTGTTAATTCCGTCGTTACCCAAGCTTGCTGGGATTAATTTCAAGTCGCTGAAGGTGGCGCCATTTAAACTGTCAAACTGGAATTTTATGTGTGTACTTCATTTTTTTTAAACACACTTCAATATACGTTTCCCTATGAAGAAAGATAATACATACAGCTGTTTCTTTACAAATGTTTCTTTACTTATACAATCTTACAAGCGCGAAATTAAAAGTATAAAATAGCGACAATTTACCCATCGCACCTTGTATGCGAGCATATATATATATATATATATATATATATATATATATATATATTATAAATTGATTTATTTAAAATATGTTTTTTTCGCTACACAGTTCTAACCATGTTTCAAAAAATGGAAGCTAAAAGCTACGAATTTAATTTTTGTAATTAAATTAAAGACATTAGTTCCATTTCATCCTCAAGCGAATTTTGGAGTAACTTTTAAAATTACTGGGTTTTAAAGACACAGCTAAAATCATAATTCACGTTTCCAAGGTTACAGATAAATCCACTTCCACTAGACAAGGGGTGTTTGCGTGTTCATTATGTCTGTATTATTGTATCCGTTATTAGTTACGTTTCGGTAGGGATGTATTTTTCAATGAAATCTGTCATCCGTTGAATGCACGTCGTCTATTTTTTTTTAAATTTATTGTTCGCATGAGGATGAAATGGAACTGTCTTTAATTTAATTACAAAATTAAATTCGTAGCTTTTAGCTTCCATTTTTTAAACATGGTTAGAACTGTGTAGCGAAAAAACCATATTTTAAATAAATCAATTTATAATATTAATGCTCTGTAAATTTACATTGAGCACTATTTTGTAAAAATAAAAATATCTATAAGAACACCGGATTATATATCTTACTGTTCTTTCTTTATATATATATATATATATATATATATATATATATATATATAGCGGGAGAGAGAGAAAGATTTAGCAAAAAACAACAATGGTTTCTTTACATACACAACAGATAAAAAAACATCCATTTATTTTCCATAATACCAGATTTTTGTATGTTTCGTCAATGAATTGGTGTCATAAAAAATGAAGATTCCAGAAGAATTCTATCTGACATATGATGTTTTGTCTTGCTAATGTAGATTTTGTTCGTATAAAATGGAATTCTTCTGAAGAAAACAACCGTATTCAATAATCCTATACAAGTATATATATATATTATTTAATTGAAAAATATAGATATCTTAACATCAAGAACTGGAAAGGATCAGTATAAAAATAAGTAGACACAATATGTCTATATTATTCAATGAAACCTGTTTGAATGAAGATATGCTGCTTATATATATATATATATATATATATATATATATATATATATATATATATATATATATATATATATGTTGCAGAGTTTAGAGTATTGATTTCAAAAATATTATCAGAAGGCTTTTTATTATTTTTGGTTAATTATAGCTGATTAGTCTGCATGAAGAAAATTCTACAAACATTTAAATTTAGTTGATCGCTGGCAAAAGTTCAATAGTAACATTCTCAATAAGTAACAAAACGACTATTTGTATATGAGAAAGAGATATTTGAATTTGTGTACAGAAATTTACATTTGTTGTTGCTGTAATAAAATTCAGAGAGATTGTGTACTTTTGGAACTTTTTACGTTTTTCTTTTGTTTGCCCTCGGGAAAGTTTCGCTCCTTTTTTTTAAAAAAATATTGTTCATAATAATTTCTGTGAGAGTGAATATTAAACAAAACTATTTTTTGGTTTGGAACATTTCAATCAATGTAAGATTGGATATTTTCATTTGTTTCTTACCAATGAAATTTTTTTCATCATATAACCAGATTTTCCGATGGCTGTCAATAGTATAAATATTTGGTAACTTTAATTTAGTTTCGCATGTGAGCATATTACTGGAGTACTTGATGATAATCGGACTTTATAAATAATCTGTGATACAAGAACATGAACTTCTCTACTCGGACGTGATCAACTTTATACGTAAACATTATTCTCTACTAAATAGTATGAAGTCTTTTTAGAGTTTTGCTTTAATTTTAAAGAATTACTCACAAGATGAAGATTTGCTTCGATTTTTAAAATATTTTTTTCTATTGTACAAATTTTCTTCCGCTCTAAACACTAATTCCTTTTCTCATTAAGTAAACATTACTTGTTGAAATTATATACGAAACTCGAAATCACGTAAAGTTAATTACTGAAGCAATCGAATGATTCAATTAACATCTGTAATTATTCGGTTATAACGAACAATTTGCTTATTTCTCTAATTTTCATTATTTACTTGAGATTTAATCTGAATGTAATGTTTTTTATTTTATTTATTTGTTTTTTTTTATTTTATTTTTTGAAGACAATGTGTTTGAATCCCTAACTACGTTGCCATTAGCAGTTAAGTAGGTAAATTCAAACAGCTGCGTGTAGAGATGGAACAAAAAGGCAATAGTGGTTTCTTCACATACATAACAGATAAAAAAAAGAAAAACATATTCGTATGTTTCACCGGTTTTTCCAGAAAAAAAGATTCTTGAAGAATAAGGTCTACCTTACATATGACGTTCTGTCTTGCTAATGTAGATTTATTTCTTGTGAAATAAAATTCTTCTGAAGATAACACCAGTCCATCGATGAAACGACCCATCATGGGAAAATTTGACATTGTTTGAAGAAGATCCAGCTGGTTTTCTTGAATATTTTCTAACCCCGGATAAGTGTTGCATTCATTACTTTGAGCCAGAAAAAATGAGAAAATCCATGCAATAGAAACACTCTTTCTTAGCTTCTCCAAAGAAAGCCGAGGTCATCTACAGGGAAGGTGATGGTCTCAGTTTTTTGCGGATGCAAAAGACATTGTGCTTATTGACGATCTTCAAAAGGGACAGGACATTACTGGAGAGAGTATGCCAACTTGTTGAGTCAGTTAGAAAGGCTGTCAAAACCAAACGGGTAGAAGAACTGGACGAAAGGGCTTTTGTCTTGTCAGGATAATTCTCCAGCGCACAAGCCCTTGGTTTCAATAGCTGCGTAATTATGGCTTTGAAATTATTGATCACTCTCTTTATTCTCCTGATATGACTATCATCTGTTCCCCAACATGAAAAAAAAAAAAACACTTGACTAGGAGTCAGTATCATAGTGATGATGACTTCATATTTGTTATTGATAAGATTTTTTTTGCTAACAGGACGAACAGTCTTCTTTGACCAGACAGATGTCAGTTTACGTGGAAGTAAAAATGCAGTTATCAATAAGAGTTGGAATTAATACATGCAATATTTCACAGCTATATCGCCACTCCTTTATAGTCAACCTATGAACTTTTCAGCCCACACTAGTAATTTGAATCTTCGAATTAATTTTGATTTTAAAATAGTTGTTTAGTAATGTGAGCGTGATGTTATATTTTGATTGCTGGATCTCTGTGGTGACGTGTGACTATAGCGCAATGTATATACTGAAAATTTAGATGAATTTTAGAATGCCTATTCTACAGAGTGTCCCAAAATCCGCATTACCATTGATAACCTTATAAATTTTATATTTATTCACCAAATGGAATCATGTTTCTGTATGTAATCATATATTACTAAGAAATTGTATTTGACGAATTATGGAAGATGATGTCATGTAAATTTTCCTTGGTTGCTATTTCACAAATGTATGTTTTCTGCCAATTGTCGAGTGACTTTTGGAACACCCTGTAGAATAATAACTGATTATGGCAACTCTTGCTTATTTTGATGCAACATGTATAGCTTCAAAGATTTGTAATTTTTATTTGTTGAGTATTATACTGCGTTATTCATAAAACTTTCGTTATAAAATTGTAAATTTGATGTAACTTGTGTTGTCGTATAGCACTTGGGTCTGAATTATGACACGTAAATCTACTGGAGAGAGTTGTGGTTGTATATCCTGTGACAGTTTTCTTATTTTCAGAGATACAGTTTGCAATATAAAATACAGAAGACATAATTTGTCGCTTACCTTATAATTTTATTAATCAATTTTTCTAATATGCGAATAAACTTTAAAAAATGTGACTGTTGTAGATATAAACAAAAAGCTGAAATTGGTATTCGTTATCATTTGATTTTATTTTGTTCTATCTATGTTATATAACATACCTATGAACACTAATGGGTATGTTCCAATCCTCATAAATACGTTGGATACTATTGTAAGGTGGGGCCAATATGCTAAGTAGTCCACCACTTACAGTGGTTTGCCTACTTCACGCCACTGGCGAGTATGGTATTTAGTTGATGATATAAAGATTACCATTTCATTTTCAACCTCCGTTTTAGTTATTCCTCGTTCAGTAATCCTTTCTAGGTTACAATACTATTTATGCCCCTGACTGATTTTGAGTTGAACCCTTGAACGTAATAAAATTTTACCTATTTTACGTCTACAACAGACACATTTGCGAAAATTTATTTACATATTAGAAAAATGATCATGAAGATTAATATATATAAAATGTCTTTAGAAGGACAAATGAAGCCAAAATATACTTTATATATACGAAGTCTATGTAAGATCGGGTCTGTTCCTATCTATCTATCTATCTATCTATCTATCTATCTATCTATCTATCTATCTATCCCAGTCTGTTCATATCTATCTATCTATCTATCTATCTATCTAGTTCATTGTGGTGTAATGGTTAGTAAGCTTGTCTCACTATACGACGCTATAACAATTTACGACTGAGTAGTGAGTTCGAGCCTCACTAAGTGCCACTTTTTGTGCCACATCTAAGCTACGCTTGGAAAATCATTCTAGTTCATTTGGTCATATCTATCTCTCTATCTATCGTGCTTTCTATCTGTCTATCTCTCCGTCTGTCTGTCTGCCTCTCTATCTATGTATTTATCTAGCTATGTATGTATCTGTCTGTCTGTCTCTCTCTCTCTCTCTCTCTCTCTCTCTCTCTTTATCTATCTGTTTATCTATCGCAGTCTTACGTAGTTATATGATACTTTTATACTTACCTAAAAATAGAGAAAAATATTTGTCAATAATTTTCCTTTCTTAGCTTTTCGATTTTTTTCAACTTCACCGACGTCCATTCTTAGCCGCGTTGTTGTTGTGGTTGCCAACCTCTTCAATCCTTGTGAAATCGACAAAAACTCGGCTTCGTTGCTGTCATTGGAGTCTTTTATGCTGCTCCAACTTTTAGCGCACCAACAACGGATACTAACAGCTTTTATATCATCATCATCATCATCATCATCATCATCAACAACAACAACAATATATTTCTTATTCCCGACAATATCATCATTAATAACCTTCATCATCATCGTCGTTGTCGTCTTTATCATTTATTCTAGCAATAAATATAATAATGCTATTTTTAATGTAGCCATTTTAATGTAGCCATTGATTTTCCATCAGTATTAGCATCTGATGGCTTCCTCTGGAAATCAAATGACAACAACTCTCGTCTCTATTCTCACTGAGTTTGATAATTTCTCTCTACAATCTTCTAAATCTGTGGATGATTTCGATTCTCCCGCAGATACCCAAATCATTCAATCTCTTTGGAAGTGCATCAAGAAATACCAGTAAATATTACACACTTTCTTTCTAATTACTTTCTTTTTTTTCCGTTTTTAGAAACGCTAAAAAAAAAAAAAACATTTGCAAACGCCCAGTTATATTTTAGCGGTTGTTTCTTGTTCAATTTCGCGGTCTAGCGGAAAAGCGACGTCATAGATTTTATATTTTTCTTGATCAGTGATATTTACGACATAGGTATTTTTTAATCATTTCATCCCACACAAGACGCAATGTATTACTGAGTGTGAAAGGATAAGACAAAAAAGGACAATAGAAGAAAAGGAATTAAGGAGACAGAAGGTGACCGTTGACATTGCATTCAAATTTTGAAACAAAAAATCCGGAAGACAGTTCCACAAGCAAGATTTTCAATTCTGTTCCCTCCACAGCCAAAAAGTAAGATCAGGACTAATCATAGCGTTTTATCTCAGAGCTCTTACCACTTGTAGCCCAGAATACCTAAATGAAATACTGTTATCATATGGATATATCTATCCATTTCAACTGTGACTCAACTATTACTCTGCTGTTTTTGGAAGTGAAGTGTTTGAATTCATTATTTTCCTTTTCCTTCGCTTCTTGCCTGCAAATTTTTCATTTAAAGAATGATTACAAAAACTGCTAATAACCTATACACTGATGAGCCCCAAAATATTAATGGTTGAATATAGGAAGAATGACAGATACTGTCTCGTAACAACTACGCGTGTCAATATCGGTGATATATTAGGAGCTAAACCAGTATCGAATACTTCATTTTATGTGTTGACTGCCTGACCGTTATGGGCAAGTAGAAAGTATATGAATGTAGTCTATGTGAATGTTTAAAAGTTTATGGCTAGAGGTCCACTGTCTGCGATTTGGTTACATTTAAATGTAAGGTGTACTTGTCAGTAATGATCCAAAAAGGTAAAAATCAGTAAACGACAATCAGTTGGTCAAGACATATTGATGCGAGAAACGAATAGAGGATTTCCAGCCAAGTATGAGCCAACAGAAGAACTACTGTGACACAAATTGCAAATAACTTTAAGAATGTGCAAAAATGTATAATAAAACGGAAAAAGTTCGCGTGATCTACTGAATGTTGCTTCTTCTTGAATAAATTAGAGCACGTGTTAGTGGTGATGGCACCAGGATTCACTATGCAAAACAAGCCTGTTATGTAACAAATATAATGTCAGTCTTTTTTTTTTTTTAATAGTATTTTTTTGCCTTAAACATAGAATCTAAAAATGCTTTCATTTGATTTCTAGATTTTTAATTCGTCAATGTAAAATTGTCCTTTGCTTCATCAAGGTTCTGGCAGATCGAACTTTCTTCTTTTATCCCATCCACAGCATGCGATCTTTCTTTTTCTTTTTGTTTGTTTGTTTGTTTCTTTCTTTCTTTCTTTCTTTCTTTCTTTCTTTGATCTTTGTACTTTTTCCCTTCATTCTTTTTCCCGTACATTTTTCTTTCTTTCTTTCTTTTTTTCCTTTCTTTCTTTCTTTCTTTCTTTCTTTGGTCTTTGTTCTATTTTCACATCCACATCGTACGATCTTTCTTTTGTCTTCTATCTTTCTTTTTTTCTTTCTTTCTTTCTTTCTTTCTTTCTTTCTTTCTTTCTTTCTTTCTTTCTTTCAGTGATTTTTGTTTGTTTTTCTCTCCCATTTTGATAGTATTATTCTGCTTTCTTTCTTTCTTTTCTTCATTTCTTCTCCCTTTTCACTTTTGTTTATTGTTCTATCCCTATTTTTCTGTTTAGGTTTTCTTTCCAAACATCCTTCTGCATCCAAACAAATTTGAAAACAAACTCATTCAATTACTTCCATCTTCTCTTCAACTTTCACCATTCAGATACAATGTTTGTTTTTATTACTTGCTATTCAAATTGTATTGCGTGTGTCAACGAATAATTCCACAGATGCTTACTGTCCACACGGAATTGGCTGGAGGAAGCCAAAGCAAAAGACGGTAGACAAACACACTTTTAAAAACAATTATTTAATTACAACATACGTATATTTACGCCACAAAATATTTCATTTATTCAAACAGAACGAATAAACACTTTGATTCATAATGAAAGGCGGAGCTTCAATGTACATTGGATGCCCGCTATCTATCTATCTATCTATCTATCTATCTATCTATCTATCTATCTATCTATCTATCTATCTATCTATCTCTAAGGTGATCATTTCTGTATGTATGTATGTATGTATCTATCTATCTATCTATCTATCTATCTATCTATCTCTAAGGTGATCATTTCTGTCTGTCTGTCTGTATGTATGTATGTATGTATCTATCTGTCTATCGCGATCTATTTGTAATGCAGTCATTTTTATATTTATCTCTCTATCCATTTATCTGTCTATTTATCTACCTCGTTCAGGTTATTTCTATCTAAGACAGTCATTTCCCTATCTATCTATCTATCTATCTATCTATCTATCTATCTATCTATCTCGATCTATTTATTTCTAAGGCAGTATTTTCTCTATATCGATCTATTTATTTCTAAGTTGGTCATTTCTGTATATATATATATATATATATATATATATACCGCGATCTATTTGTAAGGCAGTAATTTTTTGTATTTATTGCTCTATCGATTTATCTATCTATCTCGTTCAGGTTATCTCTATCTAAGACAGTCTTTTCCCTATCTATCTATCTATCTATCTATCTATCTATCGATCTCGATCTATCTATTTCTAAGGTGGTCATTTCTGTATGTATCTATCTATCTCGAGCTATTTATTTTTAAAGAAGTCAACTATCTATCTATCTATCTATCTATCTATCTATCTATCTATCTATCTATCTGTCTGTCTCTCACTTCCTTTAGTTTGATGGCTTCAAATTTTTAGTCATAGTGATTTGCATTGATGAAAATGTTATGGGCATCCACCATATCAGATAGTAATGATTTGTCAGCTACCAGGCAAGGAATTAAGAGTAAGAGACTTAACATTATTTCAAAGCGTCTAACACAGAAAAGTTCTCAAGCAAAATAATACATCTAAAATAACTTATATATTCATGACTACATAAAATAAGAAAACAATAGCTTCAGTCAAAAATAGAAACAATAAATCCTTTTATGACTGGACGAATTCCCTACTAATAGGACATTTGTTCGCATTTAAGAAAAGTGTCTTCTTTTATGGCTTCAGTCAATAAATATACACCGCTTCAGGTGAGAGGCAGGTCGGAATCAAGAGGAATTATGAGAGGTTAGATGCTTTGAAATGTTGGATGAAGGGACATAATAAGAAGCAAAGAAGGAACACAATATAGACAAGGATCTTAAATAAATGGTCCCGTTTAATAATCGCAGAATGTTATCAAATGCAACAGACATCTAAAGGTAGCTTACAAAAAAAAAACAAAATGGACAATCCTTCTTAAACCTCCGTTGTCGAATAATGTCTCTCTCCACTTCTCTCTCATCATCTCCCTCTATGTTGCTTTATATAAATATATATATGTGTGTGGGGGGTGCATATATTTATACATTTATCAGCAACCCCTCACATAGTATTAGACAGAAGGTCGTGTTTAAAACAGAGTTTGGTAGCTGTAAAAATTGATTGCATTCTGTTGGCATTTCGCCTTTTTGGTGACCCCTCAGGCCCCAAGAATGACAAAGCATCCCCACCCTGTGGGCGTTGCTGAGTGTCATTACTGGGCTCTCCTGCTCTCTCATAATATAAATTTTGAAATCCACAGGCCCAGCTGGACCTGGTAAGTTTATATATATATATATATATATATATATATATATATATATATATAGTGGACTCTCCCGTGGGTTTCGACGTATGAGGATCTGACAGCTTAGTTGATTCAGTTATGAAATTTTGTGCGATAATCTTAAGTGGCATTTAAGACCCGCTAGTGATTTACAAAGGAGGCCACATATGGATCCATATATATATATATATATATATATATATATATATATATATATATATATATATATATATATATATATATATGAGCACTGGTGGTCTGAAAAGGCCACTGAACTCCAATAGATTGAAAGGATGTAAAGGCTTTCTATGGAGGCTTCAAGAGCATTTTCTGTCCTCAGAAAAGTGATGTTGCTCCAATCTCTACAGTAGATGGTGAACTCTCTCTTGACGGATAAGTTTTGATAATTTTGAATCACTTGAAAGAGCATTTCAAAACTGTGTTAAACACCACTTTGGTTACTGATGAGGAAGCCATTACATCAATTGTGCAAAATTCAGAAATTCCAGAGTTATCTTTTTAACCTACCTATCAAGAAGTAAGTGATTCCATCAAGCAGATCTCATCTGGAAAATCAACTACTCCTAACCACCCGATTCCACCTGAAGTGTATAAGCATGGTAGCCAAAAGTTGGTAGAAAAGTTACATCTCCTTTTCGTGGAGATATGGAAGGCAGGCTCTAAGTACGCCTCTATCAAACAACTCTACAAAAACAAGGTTTTCAGGTGTGTCTGTCATAATCATCGGGGATATCACTGCTTTCAATTGCAGGAAAAATCCTTGCTAGACTGATTTTAAACAGAATCATTATACACCTTTTTGACGACATCTATCTTGAATCGCTGTGTTGTTTTCGGTAAGGTCGTGACACCATTGACATGATATTTTCTCTTCGTCAAGTTGCTGTGAAGGTTCCCGAGAAAAACCAGGAGTTGTACATGGTGTTTGTGGACTTGACGAAGGCCTTTGACACTGTGAATCGAGAGGCTCTTTGGCAAGTCTTGAGGAAACTCGGTATCCCAGAAAACATGCTAAAGGTGATCATCTCCTTTCATGAAGGAATGAAAGCTAATCTCGTGTGTGATGGTATGATGTCAGAATCCTTTGATGTCACGAACGGCACCAAGCAAGAGTGTGTCATGGCTCTTGGCCTCCTTTTGACCTTTTCGCCATGGTGATGCTGAAATATGCAGTTGCAGACACAGAGAGCGGCGTCAAGTTTCAGTTTCGAACAACTGGTGGACTCTTCACCATCAGCGCTTCAAAGCCAAGACCCACCTTCGTATACAAATTATTCGTGATTTGTTGCTTGCTGATGATGCTGCTCTTGTTGCGACATCCTTCAAGGAGGCCCAACATCTAATGTCGTTTATCTGCTGCATGTAAAGCCTTTGGTCTTACACTTAGCGTAAAAAACTGAAGTTGTGCACCAACCTTGTCCTACTCCGAAACAATTCTGTGGTGAGAAACAAAAACCACCAGTCTACAAATTTCCAGAGAGACCACTGAAAGTAGAAGACAAAGCCCTGAACTATGTAAAGTCTTTCACCTGTCTTGATAGCAAAATCAACTACAGTGGATCTTTAGATGATGAAATCATGCATCGAATTGCTAAGGCCACCAGTGCTTTCGGCAAGCTTCGCCATCGCTTGTAGAATGAGCGGGGTATTCGACTGTTACGAAAATTCGGGTTTACAGAGGTGTTGTCCTTGCCATCCTTTTGTACGGCTCAGAGTCGTGGATTCCATACAGGTACCATATACACCAGCTAGAAGTTTTCCATAAGAGCTGTCTGCGTGCCATCTGTAGAGTTAGCCTTTAAGATAGGATATCTAACATAGACCTGTTTAACAGGTGTAATATAGGAGGAATCGAAACTTTCCTCATACAGTCTCAGTTACGGTGGACTGGTCATGTCTTGAGAATGTCTGATGACAGGATACCCAAGATCCTAATGTACAGCCAGTTAGATCAGGGCTACAGGAATGTAGGACGCCCATGGCTAAGATACAACGACGTTGAAGAGCAACTTGTCAGCTGTCAATATACCTCATAACACCCTCGAGCGCTTAGCCTTGGAGCGGGTAGAATGGAGATCAACGTGTTTTAGTAGACTCGGCAGTTTTCAATATGCTAGTCTGAATAGTCTTCTAGAAGCAAGAGAAAGATCTAAAAGGTCAGCCAATCTAACAGTGATCTCATCCCACAATCCTCACTCTTTCTCCATATGCAGCCTCCTTTGTAAATCAATAGCAAGTGCTACTTAAGATTATCGCACAAAATAATTCATAACTGAATCAGTTAAGTTGTCAGATCCTCATACGTTGAAACCGACGGGAGAGTCCATTTTATATATATATATATATATATATATATATATATATATAATGATAAAATGACATGGCCTGATGACTGCGTTCAACCATGAAACAGACTGTTTCACTTGGCGTTAACCTCAATTATCCAAAGTTCATTTATGAAAAAAATTACTTTTACTACGGAATTTTCTCCTTCTTTGAGAAGGATTATGCATAATTTGGAAAAGTCGATCATTAAAATTAATCGATATGAAATGACTGTTGTTTTCAATATATATACATATGTGTGTGTGTGTGCGTGTGTATATTTGTGTGTGTGTGTGTGTGTGTGTGTGTGTGTGTTCAAGTTCTCAGAACAATTCTGTAGAGAAGACAAATGGAATAAAATAGACAATTATAAAATAGTACTTAGTCCTTGCCGACGCGTTTCGTCACTTGACGAAAGGTATGTGATTATAAACAAAAGTGAAATATTGTGTCGTTACGTGAAATTCAAAAATTTTCAAACGACGCTCCTGTTTAAGTCTCTTTTTGGATATTAGTAACTTTTTCTTTCTTTTTTT